TGCAGAATGCAATAACTTGTTATGTTCCGGCACCTTTGTCCGATTTCCATCCAACCCCCCAATGGTCCGTCCCGTCCTTTAACCAAACACCGTTGTCCATTATCCGTAACTTAGAACCTTTCTTCCAGGGGTATGTGTCTTTTCCGTCCGTTTACCAAAGAAATGCAAATGCAAGCATGGGGCACCGTGGACGGAACAACTGTGAGAAATTGCTGAAAGAAGGATGTGTCTAGTTCCACGCACGTCGTGCCTGGCCCGGAACCCGAGCGCGCTTTCGCATGAAGCCTTTGACGGTCGTGACTGGGACAAGAGTTGTCGGGAACTCGGCGTGCAGAGATGGGTTGGTCGGCACTGCAGTTGGCTTCGCGGTAGGATCTCCATTCGCAGTGACAGTGGCGTATTGAGTTACAGTCTCAGCTTCGGCAGTGACAGTAACTGTCTTGATGCCGTTGTGACTGCCGTGAGTCTTGGTAGACGAGTTGATCGGATTGGTCAGAGGCGTGGAAGCAGCCGGGATTGCAGTACCAGCAGGAGTCGTAGTGTCAGCCGGAGTTGTTGCATCAGCTGGCGCCGTAACAGGAGCCGAAGCGGAAGCAACAGCGGTAGGTTGAGGTGTAACGGCTGGTGCAGGAGGAGGGCTGTTTGTGCCGACACCGAGAGCAGTTGCCTCGACGAGCTGGTTCAACTGGGAAAGGATACCAGCGCTAGCGACGTTGTTGGAGGCGGCCGCGGCCTTGAGCGAGGGCAGAGCCTCTCCAGAACTGCCCTTAGCAGATTTGGTGAGGTCGATCTGGGCGCAGGTGCTGTAAATCTCCGTCACATTCTGGCTGTCGGAAATGATGCGAGGCCAGTTCCACACCCACATGAGGGTGTAGGTGCCCTCGGAGGGAAGGTCCTCGGGAAGCTGGACGTCCGTCTGGCAGAACAGCTCTTTAAGGCCATACTTGGACTTGCGGTCTTGGGCGATCGGGTTGCCGGGTGCGTCTTGGTAGCACTGACCGTCGTCGAAGAAGTGCGTGGCAAGTAATTTGCCCTTCTGGTTACCTCCTTTTCCGTCGAGAGTCCAGGCGTTCAAGACATCATTGATGCCATCGGAATCCTGATGCTGCAAGGTGCCGTAGACGTACACATTGCCTCCACGGTAAGGCCGAGCCGTTTGCTCAGGTTGGGTAACATGGCCATTCTCCTGGTACTGCATGGCGATGTAATCGCCAGCAGCAGCCTTGAGAGGGGGGTACTTGGCAGTGTTACTAGATGATAGCGGCTTGCAAACGACCGGGTTAGAGGAGGTATCCAGGATCTTGTTCTGATGGACGTCGTCGGATACACCCTGGGCTCTGGGTTGGTATCCGATCGGGTAGCCAGGGTCTCCGGTGAAAGCACCGTTGCTGTCAATATGATACAAGAACTCAACCCAAGTATGGGCGTTTGCACCAGGGGTGGTGGCGAGCAGCGCGATCGCCGCGTAGCCAATGCGCTTCAGGGACATCTTGAGAGGCGATCGAGTTGGACGAATGGGAACTGAGTGATAGGATGGTTTTGTCCCGCCAGCGAGACAAAGTGAAGGAAGAGAGTGGCAAGTTATGGAACTGATTGCGCAGACTGTGATATACTGTCTGCAGAGCAGTGCAGAGCAGTGCAGGGCAGAGCAGTAAAAGTGAAGAAGGTGATCGAACGTGAAGAGATGTTGTTTCCGAGACTTGCTTAGAGAGGTGGGAAATAAATGGGTTAAGAGGTGGGTGGGGAAACGAAGTCAAGGTTGGCCGAAAGTGGGAAATTAACACGGGTAGGCAGTGAACGCACAGCGTTCAAGAGTCGGGCTTGCGGGGTACAGATACAAGATAAGGCAAGGTCTCTGTACCGATCAAATAGTCCCTTTGTTTAAGTGAACAATGTGATGTGTGGCATAAAGGGTATTGTTTATCGTTGTTCGTGTTCAGTGTTTGCCTGGTACTGAAGGTGAAAGAACGACGCACAATGGCGGGGTGGGGCTGAAGAAGAGTCTATGTAAGTAAGTAAGTAAGTATATGTATCTTGCTCATCTCATGTTTGCAGCTAATAAGTAACGAGGTACGTAGGTGAGAAGAACAGTGAATGTAAGGGTACGTAGCATGTATGTAGATAGGTCGAGGTGAGGTACAAGATATAACCAGAGCTTCAAGATGCCAAGACCAAGAGCTGCACATAAAGAGGAAGGACCGAAGGGACAGGGAAAGATAGAGAAAAGAAAAGACTTACCTGTATAGGTAACTGACGAGTTATACCATCATCTGGCAAGATGATCAATCACAGTCACTGGTGGAACAGAGAGGTGTCTGAGGCGTTGAGATAGGCCAACTCTTTATTCTTCACGAGCCGTGTAGGTATTGACCAAGATTACTCGCTGCTTACACTTAAGCAGCCGCCTGAATGTACCTTGAAATAGAGAGCGTTGGCGAGGGTATTTTCGTCCTACCGAGTGGCGCAAAGACTAGACGCTTCAAGTACCAGGAAGAGGTCTAGAGCTAGCCCGACCCCGGGTAGGCATTACCGTCTCCCAACATATATAATGATACAGGATCTGGCCTAGGCCACATCCAGATAAGGATCTTTGTTTACTATGTGTTTCCCCAAAGAAGAGAAATTTAGAAATCATACCAGTTCACAGCATCCCTCTGGCCATGGGAAACGTAGAATATAACAGTCATTGTTTGAAGAACATAGAAGAACCCAGCAGGCCCAGGCATGACCAAGACTTCTTGGCTTCTGTAACTTGTTTGAGGATCAAGGTTTGTGTGCCAGTCGTTCGAGTGAGGTCTGTTTGTTTCTTTGCAGTGATGAAGATCACAAGGGAAAATCTCGGTTACATCGGTACATGCCTTTAAACCGACTTGTGGATGTGGGGAAGGACCAGATGGCACTTGCCCAAAACCTGTCCCAAGAAATATCTGATTGGCCATCAGGTGCCAGAGATGCAACGCCTTACAGGGATGGCCAGGGATTGTCAGGGGCTCTGCGCGGGTATCTACAGCAGTACACGCCAGGAAGATCAAATGGAGGTACCGGTACGTGATGCACGGACCTTCAAGCCAGAAGGCTCCTAGAGTTGGGATGTACATTCATCTCTGGTTGATATGGGAAGGTACGCTAGGTATCCACTTCGGCACATTCAAATGTTGCATCTGGCAGGTACGGTACCGCCATCACCCCAACCATCCCCCCACATCTTCCTCTGATCTTCTGAAATTCATTCTCCACCAACCGTTGCCTGTCGCATCGTGACGCTTTGTAACCAGCATGATTGAACATGGTCGCATCGGGGTCATTAAAATCGCTTCAGACTGCGGCGGTTAGCTACATCCGCCAGCTACACCACGGCCGCTTTTCCGGTCATTTATTTCCCTCGAGTGCTTCAGCCCCCAGGGTGCTTGCCTCTCACGAGTGATACAGTTGGCCCATGGACCGAAATTACTTCCTGTCGTGGTGGACACGAAACACTCACCGCAATTTAGATGCGCGCGCCTATGGCATCGCCATTCCCCATTCCGAATCCTCTCGGCGCCTACCTCATGACTATTCCCATCGTGTCTTGCACATTTCATTTTCTATAATAGTTGAGCAGAGAACGGCGCTTCTTGCTTCTATTTTGTTCAATTGGCTTTACCACAAACAGAAGCTCTCAATTCTGTTGGATACGTTTTGGTACACCCTGATCTATCTAACCAATCCACTCCTCCCGTGAATGTCCCAGCCTAGCCTGAAGGCCCTTCACCACCAACAATGGAAACAGTCTATCAGTTCGATACTAACCCAGTAGGAGGGAGAGGATCATGTTGATTTTAGGCTTCCTGTGGGACCGGCCTGACATTCACATTGGCCCAAGATTGGGGTCTATTTCCTCCTGTCGCATCTCGATGAACAAACAGTTAAGTCCAATCAATGTCTCTGTCACCATCCTCTGCTTCGCATCTTGCGAGCCTCCTTTTCCCTGTGTTTTTTAAACCCAAGTACTTCTTCTCAGGCCGTAACGAGGTCGACCCAGTGATGACCGATTGGCCTTGTTTGGGCCGTGAGGTTCTGGCTTCAGTTGTTCCATCAAATGGCAGCGTCGCTTACAACTCAACCCGTCAGCTGGTTGACAGGGTTCGATGGAATGGCATAGGTAAGCCGGCTGTTACCACCTGCATGGTAGAGATCAACCGGCGCTGACCACACCCGGCATCGCCCGACAAATTTCCTCCGCTCCAAACCCCCAACTCTGCTCCCCGACCAACAGTGAAGCATACGACTGCCTTATGTTGACTGATCCAGAAACAGATACAAAAACTGAAAGAAAACTACCAACCTGACCAATATGCATGTTTTATCTAGAGTAGGGCAGGCAATCAGGATACCTAGACCTTCAGCAGCATTCCACTGCTGGACGATCGTTTCTAGTCCTGTGGCCCCGTTGCGCCCTTCTCCCGCCAAGTTGAATCGAATTTGGACCCTCCGTTTCGATCCGCCAACACACCCTCCAACCCCTTGAAGACTACGTTAACTGTACGACTTGCTCTGGAGAATGTCTGATGTTTGATACTACTTCCCATCGCCGTTCTCTGCAGAGAGTCATGTAGCTCCCAATGCGCTTCAGGCCAAGGCCAGGGATAGCACCTTTTGTTGTGGTACGATTTGTGTGACAGAATCAAATTCGGGACGTGACCCCAATTCCTAACCCCAAATGCCCCTCACATTCGCCAACCGCATGGCGATTTCGTTCGAGTCTTGTTCGAGGGCCTTGTGCAGCATAAAACACAAACTACCCTACTTCTCACTCCCCTCCTAGATTGCTCTGATGAGACGATCCGGGCATATGGCTAAGGTCTCTGCTTATGTAACACCTTCCTTGTCTCGGATCACGGCCGGTTCCGCATTTATTAGCCCCCCCTGTGGCCCGAGATTCTGGGCCTTTTTACGCTTTCGCACAACTTCAAACAAAACAACTCTGATTGGCAACCGACCATCACAACATCACCAGATCAGCCCGCTTGGCTAAGTGGTATAGCGTGTCACTAGTAGCTTTCTACCATAGATTGACATGACAAGATCAGCGGTTCGATTCCGCTAGTGGGCATTTCTCGATTTTTTGCTTGCCTCTGACCAGGTGGTTGAGTATCGGGTGTTGGATATTGACATCCGACTGCCGAATTGAAGGTTGGTAGACACGGATGGATAGGATACCTTGGAGCCGACGGCCCGAACCTCTGCACATGCTTGGGTAACTTGTAAGTTCCAGAGAACTTTTTTGGTACAATGTCGCATCTTATGAATGCCGACGCTTTTCATTAGAAAGTTACTGATCTGTTGTTACCAAATTTACAACTTTTCTAATGTATTGTTGGTACAGTCACTAGAAAGGATGAAACAGTACTGGGCTTATGGTGGCCCAAAATACGCTTTAACAATGAGATTCAATTCATTTTCACATGCGACATGCGCAAGGTGCATCAACACCACGAGTCTGGCCAAACCAATCTTTACCGTAGGTCAAGAGTCGGTCAGCTGCACACCATTCTCGACTCTTACATGTGAACAAGTTTCGACGCCAAGCTCCTCGTGATGTCTTCGGAGACAAGGAAAGTCTTCTTCGACATTGACATATGGAGATGTCAAGGTCAGAGAATGAAAGGGTAGGGGAATTCACAGCCTGGCTGTGGTCAGGTAAATCTTCATCCGGTATAAACACGGCCGACAAAATAAATATTTCAAAACACACTTTTTAAAGCCCCGTCCACTTCAACAATCGAAGCGTCAGGAAAATAGTCGTCCTCGTCAAAACACCATCAGCACATGACGAGCGAGACGAAGAATGAGAAGCAGAAAGAGAAGGCAGAAAATTACATAAAATCATACAACGACCTCTTCAAGACATCCGCACCCCCCTCACAAATAAATAATCTGCCAACGACCACCCCACCCTTACCCCCACCCCCATGCTCCAGAAGGGTATGAACCGGTAAGAGATGATGCTCCCTCGCATCCGCTAACCAGAACCTACACTCCCCTTCCCCTTCCCTTCCCTAAACGCAATGCCCAAACACTCCTCCTCCTCCTCCTCCTCCTCTCCCGAAGAGATGCGCTCACATGTCTCGAGACACGCCCTATACCCCCCTTCATGCACCGTGAGTGTGCGCTCGCGGAAAGAAGAAGGAGAAGGGAAGACGGGCTCAGCTATGTCGCACCGGACGCGGTATTGGTGCACATTTTTCTCGTGATTGCTGTGACGACTTTGGGCAATCACATCATCATCATCCTCATTGTTGCCGAGGAGGTCTACGTATTGAACGTTTGACTCGCCTCGGATCCCGGATGTTGTGGATCCTGCGTCGCAGAGAGAAGAAGGGAAAGAAGAAGAAAGAGGGACAACGGTCTCGGCGGGAGGCGGCGGCCCAACGACTGAAGTAGCCGAGTCTGGAACCGATGGTGGTCCGGGATACGACGGCACAGGATTGCTGCTAAGGAGCGGCGCAGGCGGCAGGGAACCGGAATCGGAACCGGAAGGCCCGTCGACGACGACATACCCGCCACCGGAACTGACAGGCAAAGGCTGTACATGTACAGCATATGGCGTTGGCGGCAACGAGGACGTGGTGCGAAAAAAGGTAGTAGTAACGGTCGGAGCGACCGTGGTGCTGCTACCAAGGATGTCGGTGCTGACAACGATAATACTGATGGGGATCGTGGGATACGTATACGTAGCCCCGAACGTCGGCATTGCGGGGGAGGGGACGCCGGTAGTAGAAGTGCTATTATCCACTGCGACTTTCCTCGCAGAACTTATTGTTGTAATTAAAGGGGCCGTCGGGTACGGGTAACCATGGTTAGCCTCAACAGGTAAACTTGTCGGAGGGGGCAGTGATGACGAGGGAGGGACGCCCGTGAAGGTACTACTACTAATACTATTCAACGCGACTTTCCTAGCGCTACTTCTTGTTGTGGTGGTGCTGGTACTGCTAATAAAAGGTGTCGTCGAGTACTCCTCCGTCTTGATAGGCTGAGGTATCGGTAGATGACTTGTCGGCAAAGAGGGTACAGCACTTGAAGAGACTGTGACTGTGCTATTTGTCGCCATTTTCCTTGCAGTACTGCTGGTGCTGCTGATGGGGACTGCTGCTGCTGTTGGGTATACAGTCTCATCAAACAGGTCGCTTGTCGGCAAAGAGGAAGAAGGAACGGCGGCAGTGCTGTTACACGCGACTTTCCTAGCAGTACTTGTCGTGCTAACATCATCTGTAGTAATAGGGATCGTCGAAATCTCAACTGACAGCGTCGTCGGCAACGGGGCAAGAGACGAAGAAGAAAGCAAAGACGAAGAAGAAGAACTATTAAATCCGGTTTTCCTCGCGCTGCTGACAGGAGGGGTCGTCGGGTAACTACTACTACTAGCCTCGGCAGGTGGACTCGGACTCCTTGGCAGAGAGGAGCTTGTTCTTGTCGGCGAAGAAGAAGAGGGCAGTGACGAGGCGACGACGCCGGTTGAAGAAGTGCTATTTGAAGCAGAAGCAACAACTTTCCTCCCAGCGCTACTCGTCGTGAGGCTGCTCGTGGAGTATACCCCAGACATCGGCAACGGAGGCAGTGACGAGGTCGAAGTGTCATTGTTTGCCACTATTATTTTCCCAACAGCACTCGTTGTCGTTGTGGTGGCTGCCGTGAGAAACGTCGAGGGTATAACAGACGGACCCGGGGCAAGGGTGCTGATGAAAGTGCTGCTGCTATTCGACGCCACTTTCCTAGCAGTCGTCGTGCTGCTTGTCGTCAGGACCGTCGGTAGCGGAATTGTTGTCGACGACGAGAGAGAAGTGGTGTTCACGCCGATTTTCCGGTCAGGACTCCGAGTGGAAGTGGGAGTGCTAGTGCTAGAGCTATTATTACCCGCAGCAACTTTCCCAGCCGTGCTCGTGCTTGTGCTGGTCGTGCAAGTCATACTAATCCCGACAGATGAACGAAGAGGTGGTGGTGAAGAAACAGCAGGAGGCCAAGGCCGAGACCAAGTCCCGTTTCGACTGCGAGAAGGAATAGGAGGAGAGGGCAGGGGCAGATTCGGTAACCAAGGCGGAAGACCATGTTTCCCGGGAACTGGACGGTCATTGGGAAGCATTGCTGGCGTCTGCGTCTGCGTCTCTTGTTTTCCCTTCGACGTGAGTGTCGGCGTTATGACAATAACCTTCGTCCCCTGTATCTTCTCTTCCAGACCGAAATCACGATGAAGAGGAAACCACTCCTCTCGCATACGTAACTCGACATCACCCCCGCACAAGGCCGAGAGCACGGGCATCGCGGCAGGGAAGTTGATCACGCATCCCCTACCCGCCTCGTTGCAGCGGACGAGGAGGAGTTGTTGTGCGAGCGCTAGCAGCGTGTTTGCCCCTGCTGCGCTGGGTAAGGGTTGTTGGCTTAGGAGGGTCGTCATTGCCCCCCTTTTCGTTTTTTTTTTTTTGAAAATGAAGAGAGATGAGGGCAGGAGAGTGTCGGTATAAAACGAGTTTTGCTTGAGCCTAAATCGAAATGCTGGTTGATCAGGCCGGTATTCGATCTGGGAGTGAGTGAGCGAGCTGCGAATATATAACGCTCACCTCAACTCGCACAAAAACAAAACAGCATGAAAGGGCAGTAAGTAGGTAAATATGTATGTAGTATAGGAAGATGAGGAAGAAAAGACCGTATGAGGATACTAACCTAACCTAACCTACTATTTCGTATCTCAAGCGAGACTGGTGGAGGGAGAGGGGAGATTAACCGACAACTAACTAACTCCCTGCAGCGAGCAAGTAAGCAAACAGCTCCCTTCCTTCCTTCGTTCTTTTGAAAATAAGAGTTACCAAGCCAACAAGCCAACAAGTAAAAAACTAGCGACTGCTATAAAGCCAAGAAGAAAACGTTCAAAAACGAAGGCAATTCTGCCCAATCTGACCTGTCTGTCCATCCTCACCAACAGGTCTCTTCTAATATACCTTACCACCCCCTAATCATGAATCCACATCACTCTTTATCCCACCCCTTTTATTAATAATGCATTCCCATCCCCTATCTCCTGGGAAAATCGGACTGAGACATGTGACAAAATGATGGTTAGTTTAGCCTAGCATTCAGGCAAAGGGGTAGGAAGGAATGTTGCAGGGCACGGACGGGACGGCGCGACGCGTCTCAACACAACACAATCAAGGGCGAAGAGTCTCACGGTAAACCTCCCAAGCTTTCAACAAGGGAGACAATATCACAAGATGGCCCAGAGATTCGAGATTAGCAATATAGAAAAGAATGCAATTGTAATTATGGAAGTCGGATTTGCTAAACACGTAGGAGCATCGACGCGGTTACGTCCGGTTCTTTGCCACAAAAAAAAACGCCACCCAAACAATATCTGTCTGTCCTAGGAGGGCCTTTTCGTCCAAATGCAAAAGCAGACGAGATGAAAACCCTCCGATGATGTGATGTTGCTCTCATTCATTCAGTCAGTCCCATAACACAAATAATCGCCCGTCCCATACACCCGTAAGCCATACACCGCTCATGACCCGTCATGGTTAACCGTGTATACCATCAAGGTAAAGTAACGCCTTCTTGCGACAGCCTCGTAGCTGTGCAAACGGTGCAGAAACAGAATCAAAACAACAAGGCAGAAACGCATGCTCTCTTGTCATCTATCGAAATTTCGGCCATCCGGCAGTCAAAACCGGATCTGAATGCATGTAAACCGGTTGATGTCTCTAAAACCCTCCGACGCTAGCAGCGGGTTTGTTCGCTCTTCGTCCTAGTAACGTCGCGCCGCCTAGGTTAAGCTCGAAGGCGCCGCGTTGCCGGTTTCGATCGCGCACTTGCTGGCGGGCAGCTTGCGCCACGGCGGCGCTGTGCTGGCCGTAGCCCCGTGGTTCCCGCTCTCCCTGGCGAGCACGCTCCCTGCCTCGTTCTTGGCTGTTACCCAAGTTCGCGTTGCGCATGCTCTGCTCCAGCTTCTGGTCGTCTTGCTGGGCCTTGCTATCGCCTTCCTTCTCTTCCTCTGAAGACTCTTCGTGCAGGTTGGTCAGACGAGCGGGAGCACCACCCTTGGCGCCCACCTGCTTCCGTCGCTTC